CCAGAGACGTTGCATAACACCAAGCTTGAAGCAAACATATGAATCTTGTGTCGCTTGTAATATCTGTCCACGAGAAAGATTGCGAACACCCCAATCACTCATACTAATCTCTTTATCCACCCTCACTCCTTCGTACCCCAAACAATCCTCCACAATCTCCTCAAACGAACGAGTCCATAAGCACCTAAGCAAAAACTTCCTTACGTCAAGAAGTCTCCAAATCTCCAACTGATGTCTACATCTCTCGAGCTTTCCTTTGTCTTGGCTGTTCCAAACACCGACAAAAGTGATTCTACGATCCACCAAGAAACGTCGTAGGACGTTAGGGATGCGGTTACAGTGATTCAACTGTACGATGAGACAACAGTTACTGACACCTAAGTGGAGAACGTCCGGTGGGGGATCGGAAGTACCATCTGGTGTCCACTGGACGCCGATTCCAACAACAAGAGGGTGTAATGAGCGGCGGTTGAAGAAACGGACTGTACTGATCCAACGACGGATTACTGAGGCACTTCGAGTGACAGATACTTTCAAGCGTTTTCCAAAGAAATCGACGTTGTATTTTGGATGAGAATGGGGGTTTGGGACTCTTTTGATGATCCTTGGAGCCATTGATCTGATTTTAAAGAGATACAGAGAAGTGAGCGAGAGAGATCGTAGAATTTAAATAGATATAACCTCAACGTTCAAATAAATGGTTACTAAATTTACGGCTCTTAAGGTTTCAATTTTGAAGAAAAAATATTTCATCAAGATATCAAGTTCTCGGGAATATTTGCTGGCAAAAACGGTATAAAGAATCTCTGAGAGTTGAACGTTTAAAATGATTTTGGTTCTATATATAATTTAAAACATGCATGTTAATCTGGTAAGCCGGATCCAATCCGATCAGGCTCAAACTCAAGTAGCTTTATTTGGAGTGGTCGATATTTTTTGGGTTCTATTTAAAAGTCTAGTCCGAATTGAAAAGTTTACATGGTAAGCTATGTATTTTCACTAAAGGAAAAAGGGTATTAATAACACTTGTGAATAGTGGTTTTATGTGTTTACGCTATGGTTGACTAATAGCACTTCATATATATTTTTAAAAACAACTATAGATCGTGAACATTTATTAACCAATCTATTTTAAAATTTCAATAATTCATTAATAGCACTTGAGAATTTTCTTTCCATTTAGGGTTGTTTACCAAAACAAAACGAATAATTTTCATTATAACC